GCAGCGCCCGAGCCGCAGCCGGAGCACGGGGGAGGAAATGGTTTGCGGCCCTGCGGGACGTGCAGGAGGCGGCAGGGGAAAGACAGCGTCTCCCTTGCCGAGCTGGAGGGTCGGGTCGGGGCGGAGAGGAGAGGAGCGGAGCAGCTGTGCCCGGTCAGGGGTCGGTGCAGGCGGGGATGGCCGGGGCCGGGGCCGGGACCTGGCAGGGCCACGCCTGCGCGGGCAGCCGGCCCATCTCTGCGCCAAGGGTACCAGTGGCTGTGTAGAGCTCTTAATTAGGCTGTTTTTCTGAGCCCGGACAGGTGAGGTCCCTGGGCTAGAGGTAGACTACCATCTTTCCCCTGGAGCTCTTATTTCTGGAGGAGCTGAGAGTAGTGAGCACACCACAGCCTGGCATTTTAACCAGGAAGGAAAGAAAAGCAGCTGGCTACTCTGGAGGGCTTGGTGGAGTGGGGGGTCAAAGGGAAGCCATTTTTCTACCCTCAAGGAGGACTGAAAAAGCAGGGTGCAGTGGCATCTGGGGAGTGAGCACTGCAGCCTCCAGGAAATTGGGAAAGCAGGGTTCAGAGGGATGGCGCGGTTTGGAGCTACCTGGAAGAGGGTGTTACTGAATATATGAGGCAAGGGGGTGGGGAGGTGATGGTATTGAGACCAGGGAGATCGGGAGGCTGGAATTAAAGGTCCTGAAGGTCGGGGCAATAGACAAAAAAGATTGTTAGGAGATGACGTCTGGGCAAACTGGGAGGAAAGACAGGGTGAAGAGAGAAGTTCAGGATTTGCGTATACAGGGACAGAGAAGATCCAGGGATTGTAAAAGCCAGGATAAGTGTATCTGGGAGGTGCTAAGGCCTGCAAGCTGGGACAGGGGTAGTAAGGATGGGGAAGACCAAAGACCTTTGGAGTTCCTATAGCACAGGTAGTTTGGAGATACCATTGGGAACATGAAAATTGGTCCTTGAAGATCACGGTCTCCAGGTAAGTGGGCCTTCATTGGAAAGAGGGACTGGGGATTAGGTTAGCAGCTAGGGTTGAATATGGCACCTTTAGTTCTACTGTATGCAAGGCAAAAAGGCATTATTCAAAAATGGAAGACATACCCAAATGAGAGAACTGGGAAGGTACACAAACTCTGGTAGGTCAAATGTAAAATGAAATAAGGCAAGGCAAAAAAAGAATTTGAGGAGCATCTTGCAAAGGATGCCAAACTTAATAATAAAACCTTTAAAAAATACATCAGGAGCAGGAAGCCAGCTAGAGAATTGGTGGGACCATTAGATGATCAAGGTGTAAAAGGTGCACTTGGGGATGATAAGCGCGTAACAGAGAAGCTAAGTAAATTCTTTACATCCGGTTTTATAGCAGAAGATATTGCTGAGATTCCCACACCAGGTCAACTCTTCCTAGCAGATGCATCTGAAGAGTTGGATCAAATTGAAGTAACAGAAGGATGTTTTAGAACAAATAGATAGATTAAACATGAATAAGTCACCAGGATGGTATTTATCCAAGAGTTCAAAAGCAACTGAAATGTGAAATTGCAGAACTATTGCCAGTGGTATGTAACCTATCATTACAAATGGCCTCTGTGCCAGAGGACCAGTAAGTTGC